ATGATTATGTCAAATTACCTGTCTCGAGGCCAGCTATTTAAAATAGAATATCTCACATTTGAACAAACTGTTTATAGGTTTACTTGCTTTCTTAAGATAAGAGACCATTGTTTTTTAAACAATAAAAACCAGGGTGTGATCCAAAGTAAATCAAGTCTTGTTGGAAGAGACCATACTTGTGTTTACATCCTTTTGGGTGCTGATATACTCAAAATACGATTTCAACCATCCATATACAAAACCTTAATACTCAGGCATCTCTTGCACAGTATTGGAAAACTGTACTTACATCATGGCAATGATTCTACATTGAAGACATCTTAGGGGAAATTAAAAGTGCCTAATGTGGAAATAATGTAAATGCTTCTGAGACATTAAGGTTTCTTTTGCAGTTATCATTTTGTATGCATTCTTTAGATGACTATGACAGTTGAAATGATGCCATCACAGAATTTTTGCATGAAACACTGTGCTCAACTAATCAATAAGAGCAAAAAAAAATTAAGTTCATAGTATTCTAATCACTGTAGTTAACCTTTAGAGATTCCTCGCCCCCCAAAAACTGCTTTACATGAATGCAATCCTCTAAGAGATTATTTTTGGTAATGCAGTTCTTTCTAATCATTCAGAATATTATCCTAAAAAGTAACCAAAATTATCATTTAAGAAACTTATTTGGCTAGAAATGTTCCCACTCCAATAAGCTATGGTTCTCCCTTCAGAAAGCAGTCTTGCTATATTATGCCACTCTTATACTCACTTCACTATGTCTTGCACTATGAACAGTGTAAACAATATCACTTGGCCCAAGGCAGATGTGGCTCGACAGAGTCCAAGTAATTATAAACAGTGGAACAGATCTGTTGGTACTGAGGTTGACCATTTGCTGTGCTGTATGGTAGAGAACTGGCCAGTCTCAGACTGACTAATCTCCTGTTTTCAGTGAAGTGGCTCATAGATTTCCAAGCTCATCGCATCTTACAATATTTCATACTAATAGCATCTATATAAGCCATGGTAGTTAAATGGCATCTCCATGTTCAGAAGCAGTGTAATTTTGCACACATAAATGAGGAAGAAAACTACAGGACATGGCTATCACTTTCATACCCTGCTTTGGTTCCTGAAATATCTGGCTGGCCACTATTAGAAAGAGAATATTGGACTAGAAGGGTTTTGATTTGATCCTGCAAGACTACTCATCTGTTCTTACATGGTGCAGAAACCATCTATAGTCCAGATCACTTACTCTTTGGGCATAATGTCAGGCAAAAAAATTATTGAATTGTGCTCTTTCTCTGAAAAGTAAGTCCAAACAGGATTCCTCTTAAACCCATAGTTCCAATCTAAAACAATGAAAAATATGTCTGAATATTATGTAGTTATTTTGCTTCTGCCCTCTCATTCTTTGCATTAGTAAGAAAAGGGGGGAAATCAATTTGTGTTCCCTATCTAGACTTACGATATTCAAGGGACATTTCACTCTTTTAGCAAACTCCTAGAAAGATCAGTTCTTGATCCAATGAAAACAACTACCAAAATTACATTTCAGATTGTTTAAGTAGGTTTTTTTTGTCCATTGTTGTGGAGCTGGGTGTGCATAAAATTTGACAACTAACCTATTGCAAAGTCAGATAACCTTGTCACATATTATTAGCTCCTAGACTTTATGGCATTTTCTGGCACTTTGATGCCCATAGCAAATTTCCAGACCTAGACTGTTCAGGTCACATTCTAGAACTATGACAGACACCCTTCTCCTTTTATATTAACTAAGCTGTTCTCATTGTCCCCAGTTAACACAGGGACCTTTCTCCTTCCTTTTAGCATAAATGCCCATTTTGGAAGGGATGGGTAAGAACAACCTATGGTAGCTTCTTTCTCCTTGACAATCATGGTCGATAGTTTAAAAGATCTAAAACTCATTCTCTAGACAATTTATAGTAAATACTGCATAAAGTAGCCAGTCCTCCAAAAATGGATACATCCTTATGCCTGGGCAAATGGAGAAGTGTTAATGCGTTATCTGAAAACAATGTATTTGTCTGATGATCTGAGACAAGTAATTATTTGTCCCAGTTGGCTACTCTGGAATTGCCCAGTCAAATCCCAATATATCTTCCATATACAATTTTCTGATCCGTTTTATATCCTTTCACCTGAATCATATCTGCAGATACCCAAGGTTTAGGACTGCCCTGTAATGTACAGACACTAATATTCTTGTGAGCACACGCACACTCACAAGCCTTCATATTGCAGAAGGCTGAGTTACTATCACATATAGGGAGTAAGCCCCATTTACCCTAATTAGCTCACACTTTGTTTCAAGTAAACACCCAACAGACTTCAAAACTTGATTTAGACAGGTAACACTTATTCATGTCACTTAAGCCAGATTTAGTCAACAAGGATAACACACACACAAATTAAGATGCACATTAGCACTGGTTCACAGTACTGAAATGTTAAACATTATGTAGAATAAACATTTATAATACTTTAGGTAGAGAATACAGAACAAAAATGTTTTTACATGAAACAGACTAGCCTATTTATACAACAGACAGAACTTCTGAAAATACTTCAGATGCATGCATCAGATTTATGAAATGATACTCTAACAATGTGCACACATGTCATTATGTTGACCTTCCATGCAAATTTACAATTTGCCTTTTGTTTAATCCATAAATACCACCAGAGGTTTGCCGCTGTTACCTTCTGCGAATACCAGAAGCAATGATTATGAATGACAGAAATTGAATAAACTTCAAAGTCTTACACAATCATAGCATGATAGTACAATTGACACATATAGAATTGCCTATATTAACAAAATTATTTAACATTGCTATTCCAGAAAATATTTGTTAGCAAAATTTTGGGGGGAAACAGTGTTAATATATGTTTGTACAACATAAAATAACCCAGATGGACAACTTTCCATTACAACTTCAAAATATCTTTCATTTAAGTTATCCCGCACACACTCCCCAAGCACTGAAAATATTTGTTAAAAATATACTGTCTTAATACTGCCTAGCATAATAACATAAATGGAATTGGGAATGATGATTCACCACAACCCGCAGACCGCTTTTACCTTTGCAATCTTTTTCTTTTTTTCCCCCAGTAGCCATAGCCAATCATTGCTCTCCTCGTCCATTATGCTTCTTTATAGCAGAGTGAGATGCTTCTTCATTAAGTAGTGTTACAAATAGAACACACCCGAACTCCCAAGTGGAGAATGCCAAGCTAAGGCTACAGTTCTCAAGGCAACCAGGCTCAGTTGGAAACTGAGAGCAAAGTCAATGTAAGATTAGTTATTTGCAAGCCTTAATTGCACATTGCAGCTTGCCTCAATCCATGATGAACTCTCTTAAGAAGAATGGTATTCAGTTAAATTTTTAAGCAATGCAGATAAAAAAGCAAAACAAACACAAAACACAAATTTTACCGTTCTTATACTTAAAGCAACATAAAATGTTAAAGTTTTGTTTTTTTTAAAAAAATGTACAGCACAACAGACAAACCAATCCAGTTAGTCATAAAACAATATAGTTCTCTTGTTGCCTTACACAATATGGACAATTGTAACACTGATGGATTTAAACACAGCAGCAGAAAAGGGGAAAGCATACAGTTCAGAAAAATGCTTCTGGCTCACAGAGTTCTGGATGAAATGGTACTTTTCACAAAGAAGAAGAAGAAAAAGTTGTTCTCAACATGAACCTGGTTGTACAACAGAAGAATGGTGGAACGAACCCATGCTTTGTTTATCCCCAAGAAAACAAAGCATCTGGTGGATACAAATGTTCAGATAAAAGTGTAACATAATAGCAATGAAGTAACTGCAAGCAATGAACACAGCAGAGTTCAGACGGCTGACTTTTAATTTCAGATACTTAAATGAGACACAGCAAGCTGCAAAGCTATTTCTTCCATGACATCATATGGATGCTAACCCGAATGTACTACTTTCTACCAAATCAAAACACAGCATTAGGAATACCTGAAAACAACACAAGATGCTTTACTGTCTTTCTGACAATTTTAAGAAAGTTTTATGCTATATCCCCCCCCTTCTTTTACACACTATCTGGAAACCCCTAGTGCTAAGGAAATATTCCGATAATCATCATGGCAAAAGACAGCTGAAATTACCATGCTTCTCCAACTCCATTGTCAAATCAAAGCATCTTTTCTGAAGTTTTCCTATCATCTGGGATCTCTGGCGTGAGGGTGGGATGTCTTGAGCTGTCATTTCGAGAATGCTCCCATGTTGCCTCCTGAATCTTATCAGGGAAGCGATGCTTCCAACAGATTTCAAGCCACCTACCCCAACCTGTGCGATTTCCCCATCGCTAGCAATTCTGCCAGTCCCTTCCAACCTCGCTCCTAAATTATCCGCCATCTGTTATTTACTGCGCAAGTGGAAAGCGGGAGGTGAAGCAGCACGTTCATAACAACACGCGAGACGCGTGTCTGTGGGGCACGTAGATTTGGCAGAGAGGATCGCGGCTCAGTGGGGAAACTTTCTCAGCGCCTGCCTGTATTTATTCTCCCCGGGAAACCCAGCCCACCTTTCCAAAACACACGCATAACCGATACAAGGTTGGTGTCGACACCCCACCACCCACGAGCCCCCCCCCCCCTGCGTGGAAAAGGCATCTTCCGGAACCTCGTGTCGACCTGGGCAGAAGAACTCCCTAAAAATGCTCAGCCCGAGCACCATTCGCTACAAACCTCGGGTCCCTCCGAAAGCGAGCACGGGAAAGACACGCGTCAGAAGCTTCACACAACCATCTGGCCGCGCGCTAGACCCACCCTGCCTGCCTGCCTGCCCGCCCGCGCTGATCGATCGCAGAGGCGCCAGAGGCTTCGGGACAAGCGAGACAAGAGGCGGGTGCGAAGGCAACGAAGACACGCGCGCACGCGTCCACACGTAGGCGGGGAGGGGGGTGCTTAGCGGGGAGGGGAGGTCGCTCGGCGTTTACCTGCAATGGACGCGGCGCCGGCTTCTTGGCGGAGTTCGCTCGGGCTGCAGGGCAGGGCGCTGCTACAGCGCAACGCCTGCTTTCCTGGAAGGCATGGTCTGCTCCTCCTCCTCCTCGTCCTTCCTCCTCCTCCTCCTCTTCCTCACACTCTGGCTCCCGGGGCGGCGAGTCCTCCGCTCGCCTCACTCTCTCTGTCTCTCACACTCTCTCACTTCCCCGGCTTCATGGCTCCTCCACGCCCCGCGCCCCTTCCGCCTCCCCTCGGAACTTCGCCTTTATTGTCTCGCCCGCTCGGCTCCTTCTCCCGCTCTGCCTCCCTTCCCCTCAGACTGAGACGCCCGCCCGCCCGCTCGCTCGCCCGCCTTCCCTTCCTTCCCCCTCACGAATCCCGTCCTCCTCCTGCCGCCGCCGCCTCCGGTCGCTTTCCTCCCGCCGTGTCGGCCGCCTCTATTTCTGTCCGTCTCCCACCCCTCCCCTCGCGCGCTGCCTCAGCCTGTGGCCCAACCCTTCGGCGGCTGGCGGGCTCCTCGGCGTCCTCCGCCCCGCTGCCGCCGCCCCGTCGTCCCCTCCGTTCAACTAGCACTGGCTGCTGCTGCCGCTGCCTCCCCCCTTCTTCTTCTTCTTCTTCTTCTTCCCCCTCAGCCTCGCCTCTCCCCGCCCACGCGGCCCACCGGAGACAACGTGCCAGGCGCTCGCCCTCCTCGCCGGCTCGGCTCTTGGCGCCTCTCGCGCTCCCGCTCATTCTGCCGGCGGCGGCGGCAACAGCAGCAGCGGGAGAGCTGCTGACTCTGCCGCCGCCGCCGCCGCCTTTATCACGGGGCGGCGGTGGCTGCCTGCTGGCCTCTCCCCTCCTGCTCCCCAACTCCACGAGCAGAGACGCGCGCACGGCGCGGCGGGCTCCTGGCTGCCTCATAAATGTGTGTGTGTGTGTGGGGTGTGTGTTTTTTTGCCGGCACGTTGTGTCATCCATTCGCCATGCCCCCCCCCTCAAGCGCTCGCGCCCGCCCATCCTCAGCCTGTAGCCGTGAGACACAAAAGCACACGAACAGCGCTTAATAAGGAGAAGCTTCATTAATCTCTGGCCGTTTTTCTCCAAACCATTCAAATGTAGAGTTGTTGTTATGTATTGCGGTTTTTTTAAAAACAACACCACCACCGCAGGGTTTTGCTTTACCTCAGCAGTTAAGTTTTAAGCAGGGTTGTGGGGGAGATTCTGTATGAAGCCTCCCAGCACCCCCCCCCCCGAAAAAAATTCATTTGGGGAATAATTTACATTTCTCTGTGCGCCCTGGTTTAAAACGGATGCTCTTTATTTTGGCAGACCTTGCATAGCAGCCCATAGATCTAAACACTGGAGTCCCATAGGACTGATGGCTCGGGGAGGGCGGCGAAAATCACCTGGCCACCCTAGAGATGCAAGATGTGGGTGGGTGCACATGTTTGCATGAATGTCTCTCTCTCTCTCTCTCTCTCTCTCTCTCTCTCTCTCTCTCTCTCTCTGTGTGTGTGTGTGTGTGTGTGAAGGGCTGAACCCTTAATAATGCAAATAGAAGGCAGAGAATCTGAGCAGGACGGAATGAGCATGTCTTGTTTTGAAATATTCCAAATCCACAGATCCCGAAGAGGCAACAAATAGGACACCTCCTCAGTATTCCCTTACTTTTGAAGTTTTCGACTGGCGGTCTCATCATCCGTCCTTCCATCCCTCCATCGTCTCAGTACCTGGCTTCAGTCCTGTTTCTTTTAAGCATGTTGCTGTGTGCAAACCTGACACACAATATGAAAACGTGATAATTGGCGCTCATCTTGCTGATGCACCACTTATTTGCCCAGCTGAATAAATCCAGAGCGCTCGTTCTCTGCCCAGCCGAGGAAGGGGCATTCACCTCTTTTTTGCTAGGTGGATATTAATATGTAACAAAATTATAGCTGCTGCAGCCCCAGATCTAATTGCTATAGATCATTTCCAGCAGTCCCAGAGAGCCAGCTGCTGGGAAACGGCATGGTTTAGTGAGTGCCTTGTCACACCAACACACCCCACTAGAATAATCGGAAAGGAGGCAGAAACGTTTAATACCACTAGCTGCAGTTATTAAACCCATCACAGCAACGAGAAAGAGGAAACAGGCATATTGCATACACTAAGGTAAGGAAATGTTTTCACCCTCTTCTGCCCAGATGAATCAGAAGGAAAGGTATGTTTCTGATAGCTCTTAAGTTTGCTAAAAATAAATAGGTAAAATGTAAGTGTGTGTGTGTGTGTGCATGTACACATTTGTATATTACAATTGTGTGTTTCCGGAAGGATCGGAGCTTTTCAAAGCTGAGAAAAATGCAGGAGACCACGAACCAATAAGGAAATACATAAATGCAGTAGGAGGCGGCAATTACATCCTTTATGAAGCTTTTTTTTAAAAAAAAAATCCTTGGAATCTCCCTGTGGGATTCTTGGAAGTCAACACCTGCCTTTCAAACAGTCTTGTACAAGAATGACCCCCAACCGAGTGTGGATTAGCAAACTGTGTACACCTCAAGTGATTGGAGGCTTTCAGTCAACTACACCAAAAGTGGCCTATACTAACTAATGTACCTCCTGAGGAGGCTTGTTCCTGTGACCATAAACAATCCTTGCTTATGTTGTAAGTAGCTCTCCTCAGCCTGCTACCCCCTCCTGCCCCTGGGGCTACAAGCATCATCACCCCCTGTGGGAAAAGACATTCACATAACATAATTTCCCAGTTAAAGGGTATCATTCTCCACCTGCTACCTACTCCCCCTAGTCAGATAATTTTAGACTATGGACTTCATGGTATCACGGGAGAGCTCTTTGGACGATATTTTCACTTCTTTTAAAATGCTTGCTTATTTGGGGCACCTTCCTAAGGGATCTGCACTGGCTGCTTCTTCACCACGAGGCAATTTTAAGGTTTGGCTAATTGCTTACAAAGCCCTAAATAACCCTGGACCAGGTTATCCAAAACAAGTAGTCTTCTTCCATGTCCAGTAAGGGCACGACAATCGGCTAATGGAACCTGGTTAGTTTTGCCACAGCCTGATGATGCTTGTGGTGACACGGAGCTGGCCTTTTTCACTGCTGACACCCTGCTGAAATAAGAGAGGCCACGTCAGTGGGACGCGGGTGGCGCTGTGGTCTAAACCACAGAGCCTAGGACTTGCTGATCAGAAGGTTGGCTGTTCAAATCCCTGTGACGGGGTGAGCTCCCGTTGCTTCATCCCTGCTCCTGCCAACCTAGCAGTTCGAAAGCATGTCAAAGTGCAAGTAGATAAATAGGTACCGCTCTGGCAGGAAGGTAAATGGCATTTCTGTGTGCTGCTCTGGTTCGCCAGAAGCAGCTTAGTCATCCTGGCCACATGACCCAGAAGCTGTATGCCAGCTCCCTTGGCCAGTAAAGCAAGATGAGCGCCACAACCCCAGAGTCGCCTGCGACTGGACCTAACGGTTAGGGGTCCATTTACCTTTACCTTTCAATCAGTATTGGCATTCCACCTGCTCCTGAAGACGTATAGGTTTTTAGACAAGCATTCCACTGAACTTGTGATTTGATGGTTTTAACTGTTTTTCAACAGTTGTAATTCATATGCTTTTAAATTGTTTTATTGTATATTTTAGTTAAGGATGTGTTGTTACTGTGTAGTTTAGTTATGGATTTATGTTATTGTTGCAAACAACTTAGAAGCCATTTTGGCGTATGTGGTATATAAAGTAATAAATGATTATAATAAAAACTTCTGCTGAGTGGGGATCTGGACCTCCACCCTCAAAGTCTTGCCCTGATAACACCACTGACTTTTCTTTCTCCATACTGGATCTTTTGTGTTTTTATGGGAAGCAGCAACAGGAAAAGGTGGTTGGGTGTGAAAGAGCAGAACTGAGATGGACTGTGCAGAGGACACCAAACTGGATTGGGGTATCCAATATCTTAGAACAGTGGTTCACAAACTCCCCCTGCAACAGACCACTTGAAAATTGCTGAGGGTCTTGGACCATGTAGTGATTTTTTTGCCTGTTGCAGCAATTGTAGCAATGATTTTAAATGCACTTTTATTGCTTATTTTTTCTTATCTGTTTTATTGTATTCTATAGAATTAAAATTGCAGTGCAATAAAATGCAACATAAGAAATAAAAGAAGCAGTGAATATTTAATGTGCTGGACATGCCATCTCTCATATTCAAAGACAGACTGTGGACCACCTGAATGAAATTCATGGACCGCAACTGATCTGTGGACTGCAGTTTGGGAACCCCCGTCTTGGAATATAGGAACAAGGTTCAAGATGGTTTGGACAGAATGCAGAACTGGGGCAAAAACTAGTAGCATGAATGAAAAAGAGCTATATTAAAGATCTTTATTTAGGTAGGAAGAATCAGATGTACAAATACAAGATGAGTTTTGACAGCAGTAGATGTGGAAAAAGATCTAGGGGTTTCAATAGACTATAAGCTAAAGATGAGTCAGCACTGCAACACAGTAGCTGAAAGGGCTAATGCAATTCTTGACTGCATCAACAGTGTAGAGGAATAATATTATCCCTGTAACAAGAAGTAATGGTACTAATCTATTCTGCTTTGGCCAGATGTTACCTGGAGTAATGAGTCCAGGTCTGGACACCAGAGCTGACAACTTGGAATATGTCAAAAGGAGAGTGACAAAGAAGGTGAGATACTTGGATACCAAGTCCTATGAGAAAGGGCAGAAGGAATTGAATGGGGAGGGGAGGCGCATGGATTATGAACATGGCTGATAACATAGTCATCTTCAAAGATTTGAAGGGATGTCACTTAGGTCAATGAGCAGATTTGTTTTCTGTTGCGCGTGAGGATGAATGAATGAATCGGTTCAAAATTATATGTATAGAAAATGTATACTAAACAATTAGAAGATTGTCCTGATGGTACAAGGAGCAGTGGAACAGACTGCCAAAGAAGTCCTTTAATCAGAATCTGGGTGGGCACCTATGAGGGATGCTTCTGTAGTCCAAGAGTCTTTTGTTATGGTCCACTTCAATGATGACTTCACAGGGCAAGTCTAATTGCCATTCACACTTTCAGTGATTGATTGCTCAAACTGATTGCACTCTGTTGCCCTAATTTTTCAGTAATCAATAAAAGCTTACAAACTTTTATTTATTATTATTGCTCTGTAATAAAACATCACCATTAGGAAAATTTGGAGGCAAACTACACATTACACAAAAATGCATTTAATGAATCCAGTACCTGCAATTTTTAGCAGAACAATAGTGGGTGCAAGGAGCTGTGTAACTCTTTTTCTGCTGGCTATTTTTATGCTCCAAAGCATACATAAACGCACACACGAAGCTATTCTAATGGAGGGTGGCATGCAAGGCAGAGAAGTCTAACATTAACGAGGGACTGACGTTGTCAAATGCTGTGTAGTCAACTTGAAGGCCAAAATGCAATTTAAAAATATATAATTAAAATCTTGTCTCATCCATTATTTCACTAGCTAGATTTAGGTAAAAGCACTGTCTTGCAGCATCGATACCATAGCTACATTATAGTGACAATTAATAATTATCTTCTCTAAAGGATTGTAAGGATTACTTTACAATTGTAAGAACTGACCAAAATAATGTATGCAAAGCTCTTTGAACAGTATACATATAGTATATATGGTAATTCCATGAAAATGTCAACCTACAGTCTCATTTTTCATTTTCATATATAGTTAGCATGTTCTATATCATTTTAAAGATAATTTCCCAAAGTTTCAAAATGTCACTTTACAGATGAATAAAACAACCCAGGACTCAGCTACCTTAGTAAAGAAAAAGCGTTTTATATGCGTTAAAATGCTGTGGCACCAGGTGGCGCTGTGGAGTTCTGTCTTTTGCCAATGTGATTTCCCACTTTCAGGTTTA